CAGCTTCAGAATTAGCATCTTGCTATTCCTGAGCAGAGTGTGGTGGAAGTAGAATTTTTTACTGGTCGGTCTCGTGAACGCTCACAGATGAAGTCACAGAAAAAGGATATTTGAATAAATTTGATAAATTTGAAGAGCTGCTTCTGTTCAAAGTCTGTTTTTTGCCCTGAGCCCCTGCAGCCTACTGGGTGCAGCTACAGACATTCTGAGGCGGCTGTGGTTTTCAGCCTGTGAATCTAAGGTGTTTCTGATTGACCGTGCCTGTAAAAATCCAAAGAATCAAGCAGCAGCCTGTTGGTGGTAGACCTCAGTTTGTTGGACAAGGATGGCAAGGTGCCAAGGAAGGAGTTCTTGCTCTGTAACCTCATGTTTATATTTAAACAAATCATTCCCCCGCTAAAGAGGTTAAACCAACTTCTATTCAGAGACCAAGTTTAATTTTGGGAAGCAAAGGATTGGTACGATTATTTAGGGGGACATTTTGCTGCTGTCTTACCTCTGCCTTTGCTGTCCATCGCACGTTCCCGCCCAGCTGTCACTGCCTGCAGTAGTAACTGAAATGTGCTGAGACATTTCAGAGGCTGCAAAGGAATAGCCTTACCTGCTGGAGTTTTGCAGTAATGAACACGTACCTGTGTGCAGCTGACCACAGAGGAGGAATAAAACTTCACAAAGCGCAAAGAAATAGCTTATAATGGATTTGTACTTTCCCTTCGCAGAGCTTCCGTCTGGTTTCTCCCGAGCAGGCTTTGAAGGAGCTGGGCCTTGCAGAACATCAGTTGCGTTTCACCTGCCGTGTTCACATTCAGGACCCGCGGAAAGAACACGAGACAGTGCTTCGCGTATATAACCACCTTAAAGGGTAAGCCCGTTCTTAGCTGCGTTTGGCTTTTCCCCCCCTAGGGATGGGCTTGAGCTTATCGTTCTTAATAGAGGTAGGACAAGGGCCCCCTCCTGACCAGGCCCAGAGAGTCATTAAGAGAAGATTCTCTGCAGCCCCAGAAGACAAACCTGCGCCAGATTTTAGTCTCTCTCGCTAACGTAACCAGAGCAGTGGCTGGTAGTCAGCCTACAAGCTCATGGTCTTTGCCAAGCTACAGCAGTCCACCCAAAACCTTTGTTCCTGTCGGTTTGCTGCTGTCACTACTGCTTCTTAGCTGGAGTTAGTACAATTGTCTGGAGCGAGACCATCAAGCACAGGGTCAAGACACCTCTTAAAGCTATTCAAAAGCTGGCAGCAGATGAACCTTAAGAGCTGTTTTCTCCTCCAGGCAGCTGGTCGATTCTGCGAGTGGCCCTTTGCTCAGATGGAACAGGGTTCAGACTGGAGCTATAGCTATCCTGAGAGCCAGAAATAAACTCTGTAGGAAACTGAAATCCTACATGATTAATATAAGCACCAAAATAAGCAAGCTATCAATCAATCAGCCCCATTCTCCCTCCCTTGGGCAGTGGGTGCTGGCTCAGACACAGCTGAAAGTAACAGCAACATGCGGCTGTCGGGAATTCAGAGGTACAGGGGCTGACCCACCCTTCCGCGTGTACGCGTGCCCCATCCAAAATCCACCATACATCTGCTCTCTTACCAGGGTCCTGAAAGATTATTCGGTGCAGCATCTCCCCGACGGTTCTATCACAGTGGAGTCCATTCTTATCCAAGCCACAGCACACTCAGAGGATCAAGGAACCAAAGTTCTGCTCGTATCCTGGACGTACCAGGTAGGAAGACTTGAAGACACGCTTTTCACACAACTCTGATCTTAACTCCTGCCAGTCCACAACCGTCCTAGGATGTGGGTTGCTATTGTAAGGGTGAGTCTTCGTCACTCTGGTTTTGAAGTAGCTTGACTGGAAGAACAGGAGGCGAGTCGCTGCCATTTTCTTCACCATTTGGGGTTTAGTGCAAATCATTTTACAGGCGCTCTCTACTGAGGCAGGTTCCTCTGGGGCCGCTGGACTCAAGGCAACTTGAGTTAATTACAATTATGCCTGAGTTTTGAGGACACTACAGTATCCAGCTTCTATACTCGCAGCCGTATCACTGCTGCTGTACAGCGTGTGGAGGTATTTTATATTGTATTTCTTACCGGTAAGACTTTAAACAACAAGCAGAAAGCTAGCTAACACAAAACTGTGGCAAGATTAGACACAGTCATTACGTTTTCTTCCTTTCAAAAGTATACTTTCTATGGCTGCATTTCTAAATGCTTTCTTTACAGCCAGGAAACGCCTTCTTGAGGGCAAAGCAGGAAAATCAATGGTTCTTTATTCTTTGCTTTCAAGAAAAATGGTCATTTTCGTCAAAAGAGACAGCTCGGGTCCAGGCACCCACTGTGGCAAATGGGGGGTTTACACTGCTATTTTGGAAGAAGACCCAGAAATGCGTTTGTGCTAACTGGACTGGTTTCCATTTTTGAACGCTGCTAACATCAGCGTTTGATGGCTCCAAGCGTTATTTCAGTCTATTTCTAGGTCTATTATTTCAGTCTATTTCGACCAGAGTCGAATTTATTGCCCCAAATGGGAAAGTCAAATGGGAAAGTTAAGTGGAGGATTGCTTTCATCCCCCTTCTCTTCCTTCTCTCTAGGATGAGGAGCTGGGCAGCTATCTCACGTCCCTTCTGAAAAAAGGGCTGCCCCAGAGCACACCGTGAGAACAGAGCCGCAGGCACAGCGGGGTCGCAGAGAGACTTACGTTTTATTTTGTTTACATTGTCAATGTTTTTTTCTGGTTTTGTTTTAATAAAGGAATTACAGTGTTTCTGCATTACTGCAGTGGCAGCGCGTTCTGTGCGGCAGTACTGCAATCTTCTCCCCTTGGAAACCTGCCCGGGGAGTCACTCCAGCCCGTTTTTAAAGAAAGAGGCCCGCGGAGCACGAGATAAGCGCAGGCCTGAGGGGTCAAAACAAGGAGCTGTCAAAGCTTCACAATTAAAATGTAAAGTATAAGCACAATGGAAGGCACGGGGATAAAGCCCTAAATACGTTATTTGCTATTTACCCAGCAGCACAACTTTTTTTATTGTCCGTACGTCCCTCAATGGCAGCTGACAGAGCCTGCGAGAAAGCTGCGCTCCTGGCTGGGGTCTCCAATAAAAACTGTTCTTCCTCTGTACAGAACATAAAACCGGTGCTTAGCTTGGAAGAACAGGCGCGTGCTAGTGCTGGGATATTTTTCCATAGCCTGTAACTGGGACAAAAAGAGCAGCATCTCATGAAAGGTAAAGGATGAGTTTGTCCTAATGCTCCCTCAGAGGCCCCCTCCTCTCCATTTTACAAGGGCAAGGGTTTGCGCTTGTCTTACCAAGCCCAGTAAAGCAGAGGAACGCAGGAATCCTGATTTTCAGTATTTTAGAAAAGTTCGAGCAGGTTTTCTCACTGATACTTAAAAAAAATTCCTCCAAGCTAAGAGCAAAAGACAGAAAGGGAGAGGGCAGTGCCTGGCCCGTCGTTAGTAACAGGCGTCAACCTGCAGGTAGCAACGCCCAGCAAATGCAACGCTGCACCCACAAAAGCCGTCCACGACAGGGCTTCAGCTCCGTTAGAGTAACTGCAGCTCTGCCCTTGGGCTGCTGCTGCACCCGCTCGCACTGCTGCGGGGTTAGCGATCGGCTTTAACCGGTCGATGCAGCCTCCCACATTCAGGGCCCTCGCTTACCATCACAGCGCGTGGTTCTTCCCCACAAACCAAGACGCCAAGGTACCCCTACGCCCACGCTGCTTGTTGTCCAAACCCCTTACCTCCTGTCCTGAGCCAGAGAGCAGACGGTGGCATCGGCTGCCATCAGAAAAGTGGCTGAATATGGGCAGAAGCTGCAACATCCATCATGCAAAGAGAAGTTACTACCTCGTACAGAGACACGCGATCATGTAGCTCCCCACACCGTTCTGCCACAATAATCCTCCTCCTCCTCCCTCCCTCCCGGTCCGCGGCAGGTCTTGGTCCAGTCCGACGCACCGGCCAAAGGCACAGACGCGCTTTGTGAAGTTGGGGGCTGGCGTGGGAAGGGACAGAACAGTGAGACTGTAGATCTGTCACCAAAAATCACATCCTGTTAAGTAAACTGTTGGCTCCGAAGCAGGTTTGTCACAGCCAGGCCAGTGGTTTTCTGGTGACTCCGATAACCGACAAGTGATAAATTCTCTCCAAAGTCTCATGTTTCACAGGGTGGAAAACTCAGCCGTTCTCAGAAGCTGTGTGGTTCTGTGGTTCTGTTAATACAAGAGAAAGGGTGCAACAGGTCAGACACGTTTTGTGGTGTAAACACAGTGACACTGGAACAGGACTGCAGCGTGAGGCCTTGCGCCAGCTCCTACCGTAACTTCCCTCACTGACCGCGTGGCACGAGGAGCTTGTTTAGCACTGGTCCTGCACAGCTTTAACCGGCTGATAAACACTTGGATCTGTTCTCTTCTAAACTTGCATTAGCAAATGTCCAGCTTGAATCCACAGGCAGCAGTGCTAGAAACCCTGATCACAGCTCCTCGGGAAGCCAAGCAGCCAATTCACAGAAGCAACGGAGCCCTTATTTGGCTGTGGAATGCAGGCAGAAAGCAGCTTGTGAACCCAGCTGGCTCCAGCTGCCCCCAGGGAGAAAGCACAGGATCCCTCCAAAACAGGGAAAAGCCAAGCAGGACTGCCCCATCCCCTTCTTGGGGGCAATTAGGAGGCTGGTTTCTTTCAAGTAACCCTTTCCCGGGCTGCGCCGCCTTCCAGAAGAGCCCTGTGTGCTCCTACCAAGCCCAAAGTTAAACAAAAGGAGACAAAGCTGTCAGTGTGCCTGGAGAGGGCACGTTTCCCCCGTGTGCTGCCTAGGACTGTCAGAATACCGCTCCCCCAAGCGCTGGCCTAGCTGGCTAATAAAAATACATAGCTGCTAGGCACTTCCCTCCAGCCGTATCTTGATTAACAACCACTGTGCCAAAGGATGGCAGGCTTCACAGGTTTGTTTTCAAAGAAACAGTTGGAAAGACAAACACTGTACTTACTTTTAAGTAGATCAGTTGATTCCATCTCTGTGGTTTTTATCGCCTGGTCTCCGATGGAGTTTATAAACATAGGTGGACTCCTCAAATTTCTGGTCGCAGATCGTGTACACTATTTTAGACCTGAACCTGAGCTTGAAGTTGAGGTGCCACTGCTTGGTGGAAGAGGTGAAGTAGTACAAGAGCGGGTTAAGGCAACAGTTGAAACTCACCAGGGCTAAAGTGATCCTTCGTGTTTTATAGATCAAGTTGGTGAACGACTCATTCTGGATGACCTGGATTCTCATCAAAAAGTGGAGGAAGTGAGTGAGATGATAGGGGAGAAAGCACAAAGTACAAATGACCAGGATGATGTAGATAGTGCTCAGGGCCTTCCTCTTGTGAATGCTGTGCTTGATCTGGGAGATCCTCTTCGCAATGAGAGGGTAGCTGATCAGAATGATGGAAAATGGGATCACAAACCCAAAAACCAAGGCCAGGATGTTGTAAGGCGCCATGCGGTACATCCAGCTGCTCGTAGCAAAGTTCTCAAAACACGCCGTCGTGTTCCTCACGCCGCTGTTGTGGAGGGGACCTCCGAGGATAAGCGGAACCATGATGCTCAGAGCGACCAGCCAAAGGGTCGTGACCACCATCACACAATGGATGACTTTGATCTGGATATACGTGAAGGGGTGCAACACCGCAATGTAACGATCGACACAAATGCAGGTGAAAAAGGCGATGCTTAGATAGATGTTGATATAGTACAAAGTCCCCGTCACCCTACAAGCCATGTCACCAAAGATCCAGTTGTTCCGATTCAGGTGGTAATGAATTTTAAAAGGCAACACACAAACAAACAAGGTGTCTACCAGAGCGAGATTGATCATGTATACATAGGAATGAGAGGTGTGCTTTACTCTGCAGGACAGCAGGTACAGCGCCAAGACATTTTCTATCAGTCCCAGCACGAAGACAATGCTGTAGATGACGGTAAACAAGGAATACTGGAAGTCTGCTTCCAAGCTGAATTCTGAGCTGGCGTTGGCAGCTGCCTCGCTGGAGACTCCTTCAGTCCAGGAAATATCTGCCATGATCGCTGGAGCGCAGCGATGTCCAACATGGGATAAAAGTCTTAAGCCATCCCTTACCTCAGGCAGTTCTTGAGTTTTATTTCGTCTCAAGTGGGCAAGAGCTAAAGCAACTGAGCGATGGTAAGTCTGGTGAAGGCTGTGGTTCAGAAGTCTGTGCTTGGTATATTTAGATGGGAAGCGGTGTTGCTGTAAGGGAGAACAAATCATTTAAAACACAAGCATTTGAAGTTTACACAGTAGACAGATTATTTACTGGCATTAAAATCATCGCAAGATGACAATACTGAATTAACAGAGGTAGCAATTCCTGTGTGTGTCGTGTCCCCCGCCCTAAAAAAAAAAAAGACCTGTAGAAGGCTACAGCTTTGGCTAAGGGTGGGCCAGCAACTGAAGCAGCACAGGAGAACTTCAGCAGCGATACACCTTTGGAGATCCGGTAATTAATTGCCCATTCCTAAGCCCTACCAGAATTCCCGTGTCATTTCTGAGATGTACGATCTTATTATCCTGCCCTTAAAAAACTGCAGAGATAGATTGTGCAGGCTTCCCAGGAAAAAAGAAAAGTGGTGGTGGCAAAAATACAAGCAGGACTGCTTTTTCAGTTGCTCTAGTGTGACAGTTAACTCGGTACTCTGTGCGGCTGAGCTCTTAACCTTGCTGCTGCAGGTTTATAAAGAGCACGTGTGGAACCGTCCTGTTAAGATTAAGAAATAGCATTTAAGGCACAGAACAGAAACAGGCAGCTGGCATCCGTACCCAGCTGCTAACCAAGCCACAAAGCAGCAGCACCGTCCCCAGCCCCACGCAGGAGTGGGCCAGGGCGGATGGCGAGTAGCACAGCCAGCCACGAACAGTAAGGGGAAGGGCTCGGTGCTGCAGACAAGATGTGCCAGGTCCCTTGGAACAAGCATTCCTTTGCAGGAGAGTACGTGCTGCAGGACGCAGCCCTGGCTCATCGTAAGACCTGGTAACACGCGTGCAGATGGTCCGAGAGAAACCGGGTTTTTTCCATCCTTCCCATTTACACCTCAGGCGAGGTTCATACGCAGGGGGGAGGGCTCGGTGTAAGCTGCTGGGTGAATTCACAGCACCCTAAACTCCGCAGGTACGTTGCAGAGGGGAACCACCACCCACCTCAGCTATCAGGGAGCCGAAAGGACTCGGTTCTGTGCTGGGAACACGGGGAGGAGGCACTGTACAAGCAGGACTCCTCGTCTAGGTCACCCGCATCACCTAAGCAATAAACTGCACTCCCGCAACGCAGCTTCTCTCCACCAAACAGAAAAGAAATCCGAGTACCTAAGCCAAGCATAGACACCTGAACAGAAGCCCTTAGAGGCAGTGGAGAAGTTAACCCCAGCTACAACACCCACGACATTCCCGAAGCTGAGCCACTGAAAGCACAGAAACACATAGGTTGTCGGGTACTTTCCAAAGGAAACTGAACTCACACTTCCCCCCAGTAGCTGTTTATCTAGTGAACTCAAAAGCACCCGAGATGATAACTGGAAGATCAGAAAGGAAAAAAATGGTTTCATTTTAAGTAGGTAAGCACACATAACTGCTTACACAGGTCTTTCACCTTATAGCAAAGGGCTTGTACACACACAGAGGAAAATTAATACAAACCCAGGCACGGCTAAGCCTTAACTTTAGGCAGCGTAGGACTTGAAACAACCTTTATCTCCGAGTTCTGCCAGAGCAAGAGCTGCCGAACATCTATCTTTTCTAGGTTCAAAGCACAGCGTCGCAACTGGGGAAAGATAAGGCAGAGGCCTGTAAAATCATTAAAGGGGCAGGACAGCGAAGGGGGCTGACGAGCTACCGCTGCTCGCAGGACAAGCACAGGCAGGACATCCATAGAGCCTGCCAGCTAACAGCTCCAAACGAACACCAGGAACTTGTCCAAACAGCACATACGTTGTCCCACGATTCTGCAGAAGCCAGACACAAGAGTTTCTGCATGCTTAATGCTGGCTGGGAGATGGCAAAAGGTCTTGCTAGAGGACTGCCCAAAACTGCTTCCAGGCAGATCCCCAGCCATGTGGTTCCAAGGCCTCACCAAAGGCACAGAAGCTGCTTGCACCGTGATACTACAATAACATCATTTGCTTTCAGCCCCTGTAGTCTCACTTAATCCTCTAAATCCCTCCCCATCTGAAACAGGATCCCACATCGCGTCTTGCACTCTCCGAGCGGCCAGCACTGACCCTTGACTGCTGGGAAGGAACGGGCGGCGCTTGCCAGAGGCGCCTGTACCCATCGCGCTCCCCATCCCTAGATGTAGCCCATCGAGTACCATCAACCCTTTCGAGCTCAGCTACAGCAGAAGGAAGGAACAGTGGAGGTGGCGGGGAATAATAAATCACTGACATGGAGTATTTTACAAGTCTCTTACAAGTTGGTCCTCTACCCAGTTCCAAACAGTCACATACACAGTGCAGGACCCCACCGTGTACATCAACCTGTTTGGAAGTATTTTCGTTCCCTGTGAGAGGTAACAGAAGTGACAGAGTTTACGACTAAGCATGTATTTTCCCAGTATATAGCTACTTTCATCTCTTATAATAATGTATCATCTACTTATCTACCATCTTAAAAGTATGGAGTCTGACCGGATTCCAAATTGAGCTTTGCTTCCCCAGGGTTGTTTTGTTGTTTGGTTGGTTGGGGTTTTTTGGGGGGAGAGGGGGCTGTTATTTCTTCCAGACAACCAAAAAGTACCACTCAGCTTCTGATTCTGTACAAAGTTCTTTGATTTACAAAAACACAGAAAAGCATACAGCAAAGTTTCCACTGGATTTTGAGTTCGTTAAATTATTAGACATGTTTTCATATAAAACCAAGCTTGAGTCTTTGAACTCTGGACAAGCGTAAGGTTTTTCTGGTTTTAGTTCTAAAGCATCACTGTCAATGAGAAAGAGAGATCTCCCCATGTATTGGATGTCCAGACTGAATCAACTGAAAAGAATTAATAATGGAACAACATAAAAAGGAAAAGAATGCTAAATACCCTGTGACAAAAGTAACAAGCATTAATGACGGACACCAAAAAAATGATTCAGACTAGGAGTTTGTACAGAAGTTCTCTACTGATGGTATAGTTTATGATGCTAAGAGAGCATGTTCTTTAATTAAATGTCTTTAGGTTAGCTTTAACAGTTGCTCTGGGATTTAAAAAACAAAGCAAAACCCCACAACAGCTCTTTGTGCTAAGGGCAGAGTTAGCCAGTTCGCTAGGCTGCTGTCTGGAGAGCTGAACCTGGGTTGCTCAGTTACTGGGTTTGGTAACAAGCCCGTAAGCACGGTAGGTTTTTATTGTAACCAGAAGTGGGGAAACATTTACAGAAACATCAATAGCGGGTATTTTTGCACTGCTACTATTAAAAAACCCCAAACAAACAAACAACAAAAAGCCACAATGAGAAAACACCACACCACAGTGATACCCGAGCCTGCAGTAGCCGTTAGCTTAACGCCCAAACAGCGTTAGTATTTGGTTTGATTTTCTGCCCTGTAAAGACTTAAAATAAATTTAGTTAGAAAGTTAACTTACCAGAGCTCAGATCATCATCTCTCGTGCAAAACCTGCAGATGAGTACACTTGGCCTCTCCAAAGAGGCCTCGCAACTACAAGGTCACTGCTAAGCTCTTCTGCGTAGTTTTACCACCAGAGCAAACGGTCCTGCAAGGCAGACTGCACGGAGCTCTCCCCCGTTGCTCTACAGAGAGAAACCACAGGAAGCGAAGACGAAAAGCTGTCCCTCGGAGCGCAGGCGGAGCACTTGCCCCACTAGCAAAGTGCACCCCACAGAACGGGGGCGGGAGCGCGGCATGCGGCCAGCACGAGTGCGCGCTTTAGCTCCCTCCGTGTACCCACTGCAAAAGGGAGGCACAACGCTCCCACCCAAAGCCACCCCTGATCACCTCCAGCCCCCGCAGCCTGCAGAGCAAGGCCAGCCTCTCTGAAACCCGTGCTTCAGTCTGAGACACTGAGATGGGCCTGTAGCTCCAACTCTCACTTCCTCCCGAAGCAGGGAAGAGCAAGACTTTGCTGCCATCCCTCTTCAGGCAAACCGCTGTCTAAAAACATAGGGGCAATGTTAGGGTTTGGAACACAAACCAACAAGCCCCACTGCTTGTGTTGAAAAATCACTGCAGTACATTACAGCATCCCTGCCTCTGGGTACTTACCCAGCAAGGCTGTACCAGAAAAGCACAAACAGGTACCACACTCGCAACACAGCAGCTTCAGCTCTCTTTTTCCATAGCAGAGATCCAGGATTCCTCTGAAGTTCTGTCATCTTCTTTGGGAATTAGTGCCTGAGGGAATAAAGCAGCTAGCAGTCAGCATGCTGCATGGGAACGGAGACAGTAACCAAAATTATCTTGCCTTTCCTTCCCAAGCAGTCAAAAGTAGGTATCTGGCAAAACTGCTACCTGGAACAGAGCAGGGAAGAGATGCCTCACTTCTCCTGAGGGGACACCTAGCAACGGGCTGTCCTCCTGTTCTGTATCAGCCCACTCACTAATTCAATCCCCGCTGCCAAAGGCAAGGGTGGCCTCGAGAGGTCAGAAAGAACTGCTGCCTCCCCCTCTGCCTACCCTGTGGCTCTTCACCATGCAAACAGAGAGTGGAAACTCCACAGTCTCTCAAGAGATTATTAAGATTCTTCCTTTATTTATCTGATTGCGATAGTCTAGATCACTTTCGATTGCCACACAACAAAGAGCATCCTCTTACCAGACTAAGTGGGCTGCCTGCTCTGACAAACTGGCTTTCTCTGTAATTCCTCTCCTCCTCTCATGGACAAAGGGGAGATTAATCATGGTGGTGCCAGGCATCTCAGCTGCACACCACTTCCACTGCAGGAGAGCGTTTAAACCAGGTATTGTTTCTTCTGTGAACTTCAAAAGTCAAAATTTGCATCCTCTTTCCTGTAACTTGGCACTCCAACAGTCATTTTATAACCAAAACAGACAGAGATTCTGGTGTCATT